AGCTGCGGCACAACCGCATAATGCTGTGAACTCGGAAGTCGCAGCGACGTTTTTACTAAGGAGAGCCCATCTGGCATTCATCGCCCACCCATTCGCGTTTGACTGACTGGAGAAATGCTCCCTCTCTCAACCGTCGAGCGAACTCCGCTCATTGTTCATTCTTTTCCCACCTCATCATCTTGACTGGAACGTGAAGTTTGCCAAGTGCCCACGTCTTCTCACCGGCAAAAGCCTTGCTGAGAATGTTCATTGTTCGACCAGTTTTTGAGGACAATAAATGGCACGTCAACTTTTCGTCGAAGGAAAAAAACGGCGCAAGGCAACTTTTCGTTCCGTTTCTGTTTACGATCCAATCTATGTTCGACGATTCTTGTGCGCTTGCTGCTTACGCCCCGCAACTGCATGACATGGATGTCGGCTCGAAATAGTAAGCCTGCGAAAAACAGAAACAAGACGTCACTATGCATACCCTCCGCCTGTCGTTGCCACTGGAACCTTTAACAATCGCCATTCCTATTTTGGTATTCGCAAAAAAAACACCGGAGTCACACATCCACACACTAAAATAAAAAACCCGCGAACGACATGCCGCGTGTGTTGGTCGCCAAGAGTGCTCAACATAGATCTAGTTCCAACGTGTGCATGATGTGTTTTCTCCACTGCCATGTCATATACTCTTTCCTGCAACAGACTGAGTCAGAAACTGCGAAGTCAGCGCCCACCTCAGTCATGTGCGAACATCAGCATTAGAATTTCTGCATGTGTGCCAATCACAAACTGTTGCATGCTCAAGCTTTCCGAGGATATGAAAGGATTCGCTTCTAACGCGTGTGTTTTTTTTTCTTGCTCTCGCTTGTGCTGCCTCATAACCAGTCACACTGCCCTATCACTACGATGACGGCAATGTTTGTCGTTCTTTGGCCGCCACGAAGTGCTTGATCGGAATTTCTGGTCGTCGCGTACCTTGTGAGTCTGCGATCGCGCTTTCTATCTGCTGCGTACGTGAAGTGATCCCCGCCTCCCATTTTCATACATCAACACACCTTCAAACATATTCTTTGTTCTCCACATTCATTATCATGGGAGATGTTGATCACCTTCTGATAATGTACGACTAAAGATGATTGTATGTGCTGTTGGTTTTGAATTTCTACTCTTTGTACCTTCTGGAGCAGGTTGGTCAGCTGTTCGTGTATCTTTTGCTGTCATCGGCTTGTTTGTGCAAGGTACAGTGACGATTTGTGAATGATTGTTCCTTTGAATTAACAACACTCGCCTCTTTCTGTCTTTTTAATGTGTGAACTCCCTGTTCAAGGGCTTGGGCACAATGCTTTTTTTTCGAGATTCTATTCTGCTCTCTCCTATTGCTAGCTCTAGTCTTGCTTATCTAATCCTAT